TTTTGTTTTTGCATTGTGTCTACTGTAATATAACTTTTTCATGGCTTAATATACTTCATAAAGCAAATCATCTGTCTTTTTTTCTCTCCATCTTTTGCTATCTCAGCCCGCAAAAAAAACTTTTGCTATCTCACGAACGCAAACGCATCAGTAGTTTTGAGCCAAATAGTACTACAGATGATGAAATTGTAATACTGTAGTGTTGCTCAATCCGTATGAGAGTCTCGCGAGATGGAAGCTGAAAACTTGCTCAATCCATATGATTTTCGCCCCACTTTATATATAAAGCAACGATGGCATACATGATGCAAACCACCCGACACTACACGCACCCATGGCAGATACAAGGGAACTGACGAATGGGAACGCTACTCCAAACACCCTAAAGCAAACAACAAGTAGGCAGAAGAGTATAGCCAAGGATTTAAAGAGCACTCCACCGTGAACGAGTCACCACGAGGGGATGCAGCCGCAACTTGACGAACCAGGGACTCCAAAGCGGTGCTTCCAAGAAAGAAACGACACCGAAGAGCCGTCACCGCCCGATCCATGGAATCGGGGTTTTCACCCGGAGTAACACGAAGGATGCACGGCCACCGCGATGGAGCCTTCAATAAGGGAACGACGTATGAGCCAGACAAGGTTTTCACCCCGGCCACCACCCTCCGCCTCCGCCCGGGGTACGGCCCTACATGAGAGTGCCGACCGCACCACCACCGAGAACGTTGAAGGCCCACCCCCATGCCGCCCAGGCGGCCATGACAGCAAGCCCGTCAGCGCCCGAGCCACCAGCTCCACCCACGAGCCCGCATCCCCCACCATCAAGGTCGCCGCCTTGCATCTAGACACTCTGGAGACCATCAAAGTCACGAGCTTTGAGCTGACTGGAAGACTCCTAGCATCATGGTAACCACCGGTGACCGACCCGCCCTGAACAACGGTCAACGACAAGGAGGCACTGGGCTAGGAAAAGGGGAGGGGAGGGGAGCTCGTCTAGACCGGCGCACCCATGCGCCGGTGACAGGTAGTCGGTCTACCCGTCTCTCCAACAGCCTCCCCCGCGTCACCCCTGATGACCTACCATGGCCTCCGGCCAGAACCACGCTAGGACGAGGCAGCCACCCCTCCGCCGGCGAGGGCCGCCGGATCGACCGCACCCTGCCGCTGAAGATGGCCTCGAGAGGAGCGTCAACCACCACAACACCACCTGCATCTCCACGCCTTGGCCAGGTCCAGTCGGTGCCCCACCACCCCACCGGAGCAGAATGAACATCAGCTGCAGCGCCACCACCTTAGAAGGGCCGCCGGCCACCCCTGCCTCCGCCAACTGACACCACTAGCCGGATCTGGGTAGGGGCTACCAGATCCCCGCTAGCACACCCCTGGGCCTCCAGCCCCCACGAGCCGAGGTGGTGGGGGGAGGGGAGGAGGCGGCACCAACAGTCCACCAAGACGCCAGGAGGAGGAAGTAAGCCGGAGCAGCGGCCGACTGGCACCCGACGCCACCAAGTAGGGGAGGGAGCCCTGCGACATCCACCACATACGTGCGGGAGGAAGCCGCCCCGCCGCCGCCCGCACCACGCGGCCTTTGGACGGCAGCGGCGAGGGAGGGGGTGCAAGGAGTCGGGAGCGGTGGCGCTAGGGTTGCCTGCCGAGAGCGCGTCGGGAAGGGTGGAGGAGGTTTTCTCCTGTGTTCGTTTAGCCGTTTCAATTTAGGGCTATGTAAAAGCTACTCCCTCTGGATCAAAATATAAGACATTTTTTGATACAAAGGGAGTATAAAAAACATCTTATATTTTGATACGGAGGGAGTAGGAAGGAGAAGACCGGGTGATTGAGTAACTTGCTAACAGATCCTACTCTTCCTTAAGCGCTAGTTCTATTCACAATGGTTCTATCGAGAGCAGCTAAAGTAGTTACTCCCTCCATAAAGAAATATAAAGTAATGATCTAAACACTCTTATATTTCTTTACAGAGAGGGAGTACCTAATAAGGCGCACTGCCAAATACTTCGCTCAACTGTGTCAATTCTTGCCTTGATCCTGATCCTGATCCTGATCTTGTGTTTCCCAGTGATCACCTTGTTGGTTGCGACGCTGATCTGCACAATTTTGCCTGTTCTTGCTTGAGGGTGATCTTGGAATAGCTAGTTTCATCAGGATGTCGATCATGAAAATTCGTTGGGGTGACTGATCTTATTTGGGGGGAGGGGAACAGAACAGTCAAATAATTTGGGGATTATTTCATAGGCGATGCTCAGCTGGGGAAGAAAGGCTGGGCTCCAAGCTAGGGTGAAGCTGCTGGATCATAGCGCCGCTTTCTCCTCGGGCTCCAAGCCGTTGGTCGGATGTAAGATTTCATAGAGCCCTCTCGTTTCCTACTCTCCTGGCGCTCTGTTTCTTGTCAAATCCGTCTGATGCCTGGACCTGAATCGTCTCTCGGATTGAGATCTGCTGGACTTCCTATAAGGTTTTGCAATTTGAGAACCTACTTATGAAGATTCTGCTTGCTGATTTCCACCACAGTGCATTACTGGCTGGTGGTGAATTCATTGAAAGCACTGTGTTCACTCTTAGTTAAATGTAAACGTTAGGAGGAATAAACGGTCAACTCATCTTGCCTTCCCTCCTTGACACGCTCAAGTCGGAAGCCCGACAATGGGTGGCGGCGGGTGCGAAGGGTCTGCCGGCTTTGCTGTCGGTCGAGGCGGTACCTAGCGGCTAGGGGCGTCATGTTGTAATCTTGGGTGTGCCATTTCAGCTTGTAAATACTCTCTTCTTCTATCAATGCATCGAAACGCAAAGCTTTTGCGTTTTCTTGAAAGAAAAAAAGTTAGGATGAATTTGTGTGAACACTGAATGAACAAAGCAAGCATAGTGATGACTTATGAATGGTTCGGGGTGTTCTGATGTCCTATTGTTTCTTCCACCGAGTTCAGGTATGTCCTACGACACCAATGAAGCTGCTCTCAAGGATGCGTTCTCTCATCATGGCAATGTTTCAAAGGTGGGTCTAACCTATCTTTTCTGACTTCATGTTGGACCTGTGATTTGGCTGATTGATGTGCTGGCTGACAGTGAAAGTGATATGCCATCCTGTGACGGGGAGATCCAAAGGATTACGGGGTTCGTCAAGTTCTCTTTGGAAAGCGAAGGAGCTGCGGCGTTGGAGAAGATGCGCCATGTGGTAAAATTGTGGTTTTGATCATACGCCTGCTTGATGAAGTAAAAAAAATTCAACATGATGATTGATTCAGGTGCTTGATGGGAAGAACGTACGGGTGCATCATGCAAACATAGGTTGATCTGCCGCTATTGCTATAGATGAACATGTTAAACGCATCTGTCACGATGGAGATGGCGCATCAGGAGATAGACTAGGTTGTTAGGAAGAATCTCTTTATCTTGTAACCTCTCTTATCTCCTTATCTCTTCCTCCCCAGTTGTAATCTTTTCCAACTACTTTGTATGCACTATGGTCAGGGAGGTGCGCCCCTGCTTCCTATAACAAGTAATGCACCCCCTCACAACGAGGGTAAGACGCTTTCGCCTATCGCACATGGTAATCAGAGCCTCCTCTTCCAAACCCTAGCTGTTATCGATCTCCATAGTGCCAAGCCATGTCTTCCTCCAGCGCCACCCAATCCAATCTCAGCGGCCAGGTCACGGAAAAGCTCTTTCTATGACACCAATGAAGTCACTCTCAAGGACACGTTTTCTCAGCATGGCGATGTTGTCCAAGGTAGTTCTGGTCTACCTGTTCTGATTTCTTGGTGTTGGACCTGTAGTTTGGGTGAGCTCATTAGGGATTGTCCTCTGGCTGATCAATGTGCTGACAATGAAAGTAATATGTCATCATGTGACAGGGAGATCCAAAGGGTATGGCTTTGTCAAGTTCTCTTGGGAAGGTGAAGCAGCAGCGCCAGTGAAGAAGATGAGCGACGAGGTAAATAAAATGCGCTTCATGGACTCCGTAGGTACAGCGGAAGACGCCGAGTTCTTGCAGGATAATACGATGTTCTCGGCGCAGTTATTTTCTTTGTGCTAATGCAATTCTCGAACATGACCACTGTTTCAGGTGCTTGATGGTGATTTATGCATGCCTAAAACAAGCAGCAGAACATTGTCCTGAACATGATGATTGTTTAAGGTGCTTGATGGTGATGATGCAATGATTGTTTGCTAATTAAGCCATTTTAGTTGAATGAGTTGTCACACGAATCCAAGCTAAACAGAAACTCTTCAAAAAAAAATATCAACAAGTCAAATGAAAGGCAGAGATATATTATTCCAAAGATTAACAATTCATCATCCAGTCTGATCTGCCACATGGTAATAATTACTGGACAGTACATGACAGATACAAATAAGTCCAAAAACACAACGGAGTATCAACCACTATTCAAGACGGTGTGTATGTGGCTGGAGCGGGTGGCCAGGGAGGTCTTCACCCGGCATGGGTGGCAGCATAATCTCCGGATTGGCGCACCAACTCCTTCGACATAGGCATACCGTTGGTCCTATATGATCCTACCCTCGCTGATATGTCGCCTTTTTATCTTCTTTCAGTTTGTTTTTGTTTGGCGGCGTGCATCTTAGTTATGCAGAGGCCGGACGATGCTCATCATGTTTTGTATCCGCTTGATGCTATATTTTGAGTCAATAAAAATGCCCTTTATCGAAAAGTCCAAAAACAAAAAGAAACCAATAAATCATGCTAACTAAGAACAAATTAGTAACAACAATTCTTTTGAATGAAAGAGATACTCGATTTAATAGTAAGCCATCGTCCATGCTGACTCGGCATACAATGTAAATAACATGCAAAGCAAATCATAGACACTCGCAGCTAGCTAGGAGCACAACGATTTGAGAGTCAGCCATCATCCGGCTGACCCGCCATACTAGGAAAACAAGCACAAATCAAATCATACACACTTGTAGCTAGGAGCAAACTGGTACTGGTAAATTATGAAAAAAAACACAAAACCATTTCAAACCTAAGGGACAACTTGGGTGTCGGGCCTGTCAATGACCCCGGCGTGCCTCAACAAGGCCCATATGAGCGTCACCAGCTCGGTACCATGGGCACGTGCCTTCTTATGTGCGTTGACGTTATGAGAGGGAGCAACATACAAGATCAACTCAGACCAGAAGCAAGCCAATATGTGCCACCCCGTCTCCTCATCTGGAATCAACTCCACCAGCTGCTTTCCCAGCCTTGCTCCTCTCTTCACTACCTCATGCCTGGATTCCTCACCAAGGAGTTGCACCATGATGTCATATTCCACCGACACACTCCCACCGGCGAAAGTATGCTTGATATCTTCGCTCACAATCTTGTATAATTTCTTGGACCATCCCTTGTCTGGTGGCAGTAGTTCGGGAGTGGATGCCATCATGTAGACGCAATATTGTGACATATGCATTGCGGTCTTCTTGTCGGCTGAGCAATCGGTTGAAGCTCCATGCCCGGCCTTGAAGATGTCGGTGGCTATGTGCCAAACAAGGATAATATGGGATATGTCTTGTTCTTCGCATGCCCAGAGAACATGATTGCCTATCCCATTGTCCAGGAGGGCAGCGGTGCCTTTGCTCAAGCAACCTTTACTACTTTTCAGTGTGTCAATAATTGAGGCTTTCACCTCTGATGGTATATTGATCCGCCGCACCCTCGGCCTTGGGCTAGAGAAGTAAAAGAACGGTTGGCTCAAGACACATTTTTCTGGTTGTGAGTGTGCTACTAGTGATATTTGACCCATTTGATCAGTCCAATTCTGCATGAACTTAATCTTGAACTTGAGAACAAGACCAAACAATCTCCGCATGCAAGGAGATTGTTGCCAAGAGACATGGGTCACATAGCTACTAAACAGGGTTAACTTGAACCAGTTGGAGCACAAGTAGGATATGATCTGCCATGCCTCAACAAATATAACCGCTACAATTAGCAAAAATGTGGGCAAGAAGCTTAGAACCAAGTTGCCGAAGTATAACATGTGATTATCCATATTCCACCTGATGGCTTCTATGTCCTTCGGTAACTTGCAAGGTGTGAAGCACCATATCTGACTGTGTGAAAGTGGACGTATGAAAAACATTGACATCCTTGGCATGACAAGCAAGCACCAAATTATAATTGAGAGGGAGACAATGATGTTAAGAACTGGCAGCAGTCGTCCAAAGCTTGAAGTTGGGAGAGATGAATAATAATAATCAAGCACAAAAGATACCTCATCTGCAATGACTCTGAATACCGTGTCCGGATTTCCCTTGTTAACCAGTACATTTAGGACAAAATTGAATGCGTTGATAGAGCCGAATACGGTGAGGTGACACTTTGCGAACTGATGTTTAAGCAGCTTGAATAAAGCAAATGAAAGGCATAAATCTCGAAGCCACGGGCAACGGGCCAAAAGGATGTCGTTGTCGGTTGCCATTTGCCAAACTCTATCAATGGTGACCAAGCTATTATTCCTCTTCTTGATGGTATACCCATGAAATGTTTTCTCAATTTCCTGCTTCTCTTCACCCATCACAATAAATGGTGGAATCAACTCATCTTCAGATGCTCGGTGGCTCTCTCCTATTAATTGTGTCATATATCCATCAACAAGACGATGGTTGCGGCCAAGAGCGAAAGACCTTCTTGCCTTCTGAAATGCATAGAATTTGAGTGTAACTTTGAACAAACTAAGAACACAGAGGACAATGAGGAAGTTCCAAAATTTTTGCTCACTGGTGCGAGGTAACAAGATCAAATAAAGACGTGAATAGTAGAATACAAGATATGATGTCCAGATTGTGCGAACGAGTAACTCGATTGAGGGGCCATGGTTTTGACGGTCTTTCCCATCAACAACGATGGTTGCACTTGTATTGGTTCCAACAATTTGGACAAGGACCGTCCAAATTAGGAGCATAACTATGTTTGTCTGGCCAGAGCATTGCACGTCCAAGCCTTCTGTGTAGTACTTGCCCATGGAGGACGTGACATAGGAGATGATGGGAAGGTAGAGTGTTGTGGCTCCCCGGAAGAGGAAGCGGGTCACTCCGACCTGATGATAGTGCCGTCCGGAGGCACTGATTGCCACCATGATCAGGACAAGAATGGCGTTGGCAGCTATGAGTGCATTGGAGCGCCACAGCTGTGCATTTACCCCCTTGATAAAATATGTTACTGCAATACGAGAGCATTCTTCTGTATCATTAGCCATCCCCTCGCCTGATTTACATGTTGAAGCATGCAGTGGTTAGCATAACTATGTATAAATACACAAATATAAGTTAGGCAAATTAAAAGACCACACAAACATGACAGGAGTATAATGAGCCATCACAAAATGCACATAAACATCCAAGACTAATTATGTGAACAATGTAAGACTTACGAGCACCAAGTGACTGTTGGGACTTTGAGGATCTCCTGTCTGGTCCTCTGTTGCAAAACGATGAGGATTGGAGTAAGGCCACAATGTTCCTGCACCTACTCCCAGCTAGACTTGTTTATATTCACCATCGCTCTCTCCGTACTACTAAACTAATACTGTTCTGTTACCTTTAACTTTATTCCTTATTCCTTTCTTGATATGCACCATATGCGCTGCAGTCCCCGCTTTTCCTAGGAAATATCTTTTTTGTTGCCCGCTTTTCAGTTACATAGTTTGCAGACGGATGTAGACATGTGGCCTGGAAGTTTCAGGAGAATTAACTTTACTACTCCCCCGTTCCATAATATAAGAGCGTTTTTTACACTACACTAGTGGACCGAGGGAGTATTTACTAAGTTTAAATTTAATTTTTGTTTTGCAGTTCCAAGTCCTTCGTGCACAAAATTTTCAGCTCCATCTGTGGGTACCGTTAAGTTCAAATGCAGTGAGTTGTGTTAACATGTACATGTATGTTGTATAGGCACATTGTCACGTTGTCATGTTTGTATCCTAGATTGTAGGATCTGAACGGTGCCCAGGCCTGCGTGCCTGCTTTCACTGGCAACTCATGTATGTAAACTCGTTGTACCGAGGCAATCAATCAGTGATTATTGTCGAATCACTTTCCAACTTGGTATCAGATACCAGGCCTTCTGCCATGTCCGACGAGGCGACGACCACGGCTCTTCCTCCTTCTTCACCACCAGCACCGCCTCCTCGCTGAGCTCCCTCTCCTCCATCTTTACCGCCGCCGGCACCAATTCTTCCACCACCCCTCTGCGACTCCTCCCTTTGTCTTCCACACCAACCCGTCTCTCTGCAACGGCACCTCCGCGCTCTCTGGATCCCAGTTTGTCCCTCTCTTCTCCACCTCACCGCCACCTCCAAGGCCGGCGCCACCCGCTCGCAGCGCTATTTTCAATGTCAACATCTCAAACCACATCAAGATCATCCTTCACTACTAGGGAAAACTTTATACACAGAACTTTAGCAGTAGCACCGGATAAAATGAGGTGCTACGGCTACGTAGCAGTAGCGCGTTACAACAGAAGGCGCTAGTGCTATGTACATAGCAGTAGCGCGGCTGGGGAAAAGGGCGCTACTACTAAAATTGCCCCACCGTTGCCACTAGGCTAAGTATAGGAGTAGCGCTTTCCTTTGAAACGCGCTACTGCTAGGTTGTTTAGTAGTAGCGCTTTCTCCTAACACGTGCTACTGGTAAGTAGTTTATCTCCTCCACACCCGTCCGCCCCTCACTCTCCCCCACTCCCACTCTCACTCTCTCACGCACCCCGTCGTCCGCCGCCGCCGACGTTTGGCCCTCCCCCGCAACCGTTGTGTGAGTTTCTCAAACATAGTTATTAAGTAATTTATATTGTTTATTTCAAAATAGTTGATAGCTTATTCCCATCATTGTTGAGGAAATCGTTAACTTGTAGCTGCTCGTTGGCTGGTGAGTGGGGGATTAATCGGCTAATCGGCAAGTTAATCGGCCATTTAATCAATTAATCGGACGATTGATCGGTTTATAGGCTACTCGGTGACCCTACGAGTAGGGATTAATCGGCAAGTTAACTGGTTAATCAGATGAATTCTTGAACATGGATTTCCATTGATAGCTTATTTTCATCCTTCAAAGAATGTACGAAAGATGGTAGACAGAACCTACTACACCGATGGCGTAGAATTAACTTATCAGGAGAAAGATCATCTTATCTCATTTATTATTGATGTTGAGAATTACAATATCAATTATGACACTCCTGCACATTATGGTCAATACGTGCCACTAGTGCATGTGTTGAACTATGGTAACATCTATGGAGATAGCATGGTAAGATTTTTTACTATTACGACATCTTGCTAACTACGACATTATTACTGTTTTTCAACACAAAACCTTGAAGGATTGTGTGCCTCATCTGATGTTTCCGAAAGATCACCTTGATGTTATGAGCTTACAGCCAGGTCATCCTAGGCTTCACTGTTGTTCATACCGGATTTCTAAAACCCATGAAGACACATGACAATCAAAGCATGAAAAAATGTATGGACAATCACAGGGAGCTACTTGAAACCAATATTGTGCGAAGTGCAAGAATTGTAGACAGGATGGTCTTCATTCTCCATAATGGAGAGTCAGGGCCTATCTTGTTTTATGCCATTTTACATTAGAGAGGGTAGTAGGTCCTATGAGAGAGGAGTAGGTCCTAGGTATAATGTGTTATTATGTGCTATAATGTGTTAGAGTTGATGATGATGAGGAGGACAAGTTGTGATTATGACTAGTGACCAAGTTGTTATATGATGTCTCATGGACGAAAATGATGATCATGAGGAGTTGTTATATGACAATGATGTATTATGATGATAAGTTGTTAATGATGATAAGTTGTTAATGATGATGATGATGATGATGATGAGTTATTATATCATTGGGTGAAAGAACCACGGATTAGTTTCAACTGGATGGATCCTAAGTGATCAAGTCATGGATTATCTAGTTTCAAGTGGATGGATCCTAAGTGATCAAGTTAGTTTCAAGTGGATGGATCCTAAGTGATCAAGTCATGATGATGATGATAATCCATGACTTGATCACTTAGGATCCATCCACTTGAAACTAGATAATCCTTGACTGGATCACTTAGGATCCATCCACTTGAAACTAATCCACGGTTCTTTCACCCAATGATTTAATAATTCATTATGATGTAAAAAAATCTCTAAATTGGTACTGTATGAAAACTTGTATAATGGTGTATGAATACGACATAAAATAAAAAAGAAATAGAATACGGAATAATAGTAGTAGGGCGGGCAGAGAGATGCGCTACTGGTAAATACCAGTAGCACTTTATGCAAGAAGCGCTACTACTAAGTAGCTATAGCAGTAGCGCGGGTAAACCAACGCTACTGCTAACCTTTAGCTGTAGCGCCGTAGCGACCGCGCTACTGCTAGGCCAAAAACCAGCACTACTGTTAAGCTTTTCCCTAGTAGTGATGGATCCTGCCGAACACAACCACCACGAGTGGAAAAGCTTCTTCCTCATGGTCCTCCTGCGCTATGGTGTCTCCTACCTCATTGAGAATCCCCCACCACCCAATGCGGACACCTAGTATCTCGAGATTGACGCCCACAATGCTCTGTACATGTACTCCACCCTTGCGGATTCAATCGTTGATCATGTGATCGGCGCCACCACCACCCACGCCCTCTGGACTTGGATCTAGCAATACTTTCTCGCCAACTGTGCCGCTCGCTACATGATGCTCAACCACCAATACCACAACTTAAAGCAGGGGACATCTCGGTGGATGAGTACGCGCGCCGCATGAAGCTGCTCACCACCGGCCTCACTGACATTGATCACGTTGTGACTGAGGTCGACCTCACCACCCAGTTTCTCCACGGCCTCGACCAACACCTCAACACCATCCAGTTCATGCTGGGTGCCACCGTACCTCTGCCACCCTTAGAGATAGTCTTCTCGCGGGTCAAGCTTGCCGAGAGAACCCCGCCCAGCGGACATCCGAGGCCAGCGCCACAGTTCTGTCAATGAATGGGAGCGACACTCTCCCTGGCAGCTCCAGTGGTGCTTCTGGCTCCTCTCTCGCGGATGGCGCTGCTTCACGCCTAGGTGATTGGGTGGATCGCGCTTAGGAGTGTGTCCCTAACCGTTGTCGCGGACAACGACATGGCTGCGGCAACAACTACCGCCAGGGTGAAAGGGGGTGATCATGGCCGCGGGCGCGGTCGTGGACGAGGATGGGGACGATGTGATCAGGGCGGTCGTGGCAACACTGTGCCCTTCAACCCATACCTCTGCTTCTTCGCCCCCTACGGCATGGCCATTCCAACTCCCCGTCCCGGTTGGGTGCCACCAAACTCCGCGGGGGTCCTTGGTCTGCGCCCGGGCTCTCACGCTCATGCCTACCCCATGCAACACTCGGTCTACCCGTCGCCGCCGCCGTACTAGCCGCCATCATGCGACCACCTCGCCATGCTTCACGCCGCCTATAGTGCTCAAGGCTTCCCCAACACTGGTTCTACCTCCAAAGAGTGGTACCTTGACAGCAGCGCCTCCAACCACGTGACTGGCAACCCTGGTAACCTCACCCTCTCGAGTTCTCCATTAAAGCATCATTTATCGAACATTGTTGTATACAATGGTTCTCATCTTCCTATTCATGCTACTGTTTCCACCACTCTCTCTCCATCTAATTTCCGCTTACGTGATGTCTTATTTTACCCTCATGTTACCACTAGTCTTATCTTTGTCCGTCAATTTACCAAAGATAATTCTTGCTCAATTGAATTTTTATTCCTTTGGTTTTCTTGTGAAGGATCTTCGCACTCGGAAAGTCATCCTGATCTCCGCTAGCTCCGGCGATCTCTACCCCTTTTCGGTAATAACAAAGCTTGGCGCACCGCATTCACCACCACCATCTCCGATGGCACGTATGGCATAGTAGACTAGGCCAACCTAGTGTTTTTCATTCTATAGGCCATGATTTTCTTGTTCCATGTAATAAATCTCCTCATATGCCATGTGATGTGCGTCAACTTGGACGTCAACCTCATTTACCCTTTTCATCGTCTACTAGCCGCGCTTATGCTCCATTTGATTTAATCCATCGCGTTTTGTGGACCTCTCCGGTTGTGAGTTTTTCCGATTGCCAATATTATTAATTGTACTTGATGACTACTCCCACTTCTCGTGATCATTCCCCCTACGCAACAAATTGGACACCTCAACTACGCTTCAGTGTTTCTTTTCTTATGT